CCCTAACCACCCCCCGCCCCCGGCCTGGCCAGCCCCACGACGTGAGGGTCATAAGGGGGGATACATGGACGGGCATGGCCATGCCGGAGCTGCCGGGGGAGCCTTCCAACCTGGCCATGGGGCGGACAGGCCTCCTGCCCTTCATCCCAGAGCAGCCTCCTGCCCGCAGACCCACCTTCCTTCTGGGGCTTGCTTTTCTTCACCCAGTCAGACACCTGCCGCAGAGAGTCGAAGAAGAAGTCTCCCTCCTTCTGGCTGATGACCTGGGTGCAGGGAGGAGGCAAAGGGGGCACTTCACAGGGAAGGGGCTTCTTGGGAGGGCCCTCCTGGGGGCACGGCCATGGTGGGCTCTGTGAGTCCACCCCCACAGTCTTCATAGCCCTTCAGATATGGAGGGGGGTGTAGGGGGGCACCGCCCAGGACAGTGGGGCTGCCTCCTTTGCCCACATTCTCCTCCCCCCTCTGGGCAGCTGCCAGCAGTACCTTGTCTGCAATCTTGATGAAGAGACTGCAGCCCTCCCAGGAGGCCAGCTGCAGCTTGCTGGCCACGCCCGCACACACGTCCCGCACCCGGGTATGGGCGCCCACCTCCAGCATCTGGGGCAGAGGTGGCGTCTCAGCACAGGTTCAGCTCCCAGGGCCCCTCCCGCTGCTCCTCCCCGGGACAGGCTCAGCTCCCAGGGCCCCGCTGCTCCTCCCTCACATGGGCTGGACATACCCTGGTCTGAGAAGGGCAAGCCTTCCTTCTGCAGACGGGGAGAGGGCAGGTGGCTTAGTGCACAGCCTGCCGTCTGGGCCTCAGATGTGCAGCCTTTGAACTTGCCTTGAGAGCCCAGCAGCCAGACTGTGGGCCTTTCCGTGGGGGCCTCTGCCCGCCTGAGCGCTGCGAGCCCAGCCCCGGGCTCGCCTGCCCTCTCTCTTGCCCCCTTGCCTCTGGGAAGCCGGCTTCGCACTCCCTAGCAGCCCCTCTGGGGGGCGCCTCCCTGCACGGGCCCAGAGCACCCAGGGCACAGCACAGTTTCTGGGGGTCACCACTCCTCGGGTGACCAGGGCCGCGGCTCTGGGCGGGCTCACCTGGCTGGTGTGGTTGGGGAGGAAGACCTTGTGGCAGATGCGGGAGACGTTCTGCTCGGCCGCCTCCACCTCCACCTGGTGGGGGGGCTGCTTCCGGGGGCCCATCCTAGAGCAGGAGGGGCACACTGCACGGCGTCCTCTCACCCTGACCAGCCGACTACCTACTCAACTCCGCCAGCACAGGCAAGGAGTGCCCAGTGACCCTGCCCAGGGCGCTCACCCGGGCCCAGCGGAGGCGCAGGGCCAGCTGGACGCACCTCCCAGTGACCCAAGGCTCTGAGGAGGCGGGAGGCCCGGGACAATCACTGGAGTGACCTGGGGGCCAGGGCCTCCGCGGGCCCCTCTGCGGGCACCGTGGTCACGGCTCATGGTCATGCTGCTCGCCTGGCCAGCCTCCCCTAATCTCCCAGTGGGACCGCTCTGAGACAGAGCCGGGGGACGCTGTGCTGTTGGACAGCTGGGTGGGGGGCGGCAGGGGTGGCCTCTGACCCCGGCGGGAAGGTGGTGGCTTGGGTATCCAGGTCACCCGAGGCCTCTAGGCAGTGCCCTCCATGCCCTGGACAGGGAGCTCATGGCCAGGACTGAGTCTGCCCGCGGCCTCCCCCTTCCACCCCAGTAGCTGGGGCCGGGGCCTGCCTCCCACCGACACCCACATCTGCACCGTGGACTCTGGGCGGCCTGGGCGCTGGCAGGCATACCTCAGGGCCCGCTGGACGCGGCGGCTGTACCCGTCCCCTTCTGGTGTCCAGGAACTTCTGCACGTGGGGCAGCAGCGCCTTGCCGGGCGGGAAGAGGCCGGTGCAGAGCCACAGCAGCTGCCAGCCCCGCTCCTCGCTGTACCTGTGGCCACAGAGCCCTCAGTCTGGACCCTCCGGGACCAGCTGCCGGCGCCCATGGCCCCGCTGCCCGATGCCAAGAAGGCCTTCACACCCAGGCGCTGGCAGAGGTGCTACTGTGCCCATTTTGTGGAGGAGCATGCTGAGGGTTAGAGGCCCAGGGAGGCATCGGGCAGGGCCGAGGCCCCTTGCTATGACCACCCCAGGAAGTCTGCAGGACAGACCAGGGTGCCAGCCCAGCCGTGGCTGCTTGGAGTGCCTGGCAGGGCGTGTGGCCGCTGTGAGCTGCCCCCTCCCCCTCTGAACAGCGGGCATGGCCTTTGGGAGCTGGTGAGGATGGAGGGCCTGGCATGGCCCGGCCGCAGACCTCTTGGTATTGTGCGTCAGCTGCTTCAGGATCTGACAGTAGACCTCGTCCTGCAGAGCGGCCTCCTGGAGGGCCCCCGCGAAGATCTGGTCGGTGAGCTCCAGCGAGGCCCAGGCCTGCCTGGACGGGTAGTCGCCCATGTACCTGAGGATGCGTGCGGCTGTCAGGGAGAATAGGCTGGCTGGTGG